TAATAGATATATGCTCTTTAATTTTTATTATTAAGTTTTAAAAAAAAGGTACAAAACAGTGTGAATAGCATGATTACTTATATGTTAATTAAAAATACATACATGAATAAATATGTGTGTGTATGGGGTGACTTTTTTTTCTGGAATAAATAATAAGGAACTAGGTCTTGGGGCCCACAGATGCCATAGTGGTTACATCACTGGACTCCCATATGGCTGACCGTGGTTCAAGTCCCAGATTCAGTAGCTTGAAAATCATGCTGGGTACGTGTGCATGCATGCCCCTGATCCTGGGAGGAAAATGGAGAAGAAGGGATCACAGTGTGGTCATCCTCTCTGGGGGGAAGATTTCTCACTTTTGCTCTCACTGTCTCTGTCTCTCTCTCTCTCTCTAGCAAGCACATGCACCCTATGGCAAAAATCTCTAAAAAAAATTTAAAAAGAAAGAAAGAAGAAAAAGAAAGAAAGAGAGAGAGAGAGAAAGAAAGAAAGAAAGAGAGAGAGAGAGAGAGAGAAAGAGAGAAAGAGAAGAAAGAAACTAGGTCTTAATATTACCTTTGTAAAGAAATCATGGGTAGATGGGCAAGAGCCTTTTGGATTTGAGTTTTCCCTGTAGCTATATTTGAGATGTTATCATCTTTGACATACATTACACTATTTTCTAAATGCCAGCAGGGTTACCAGGCTGGGAAGGTTTGAAGTCCATTTTTATTTTCTTATTTATTCCTATCTATATTATTTTTTCTTAAACTGGAGTAGCTACATATTTTTTTAAAGTTTTATTTATTTATTCTATGAGTGAGAGAAATAAGAGACAGCACCTTCAACGGGGTCCAGACCCTGCTCTCTCCTCCCTGCTTCAGCCAGCCTGAATTGGGGGCACACACATGACTAGCCTACTCAAGGACGTCTCCAGTGGCAGACCTTTCTCATACAGGCCTGCCTCGCAGAGCATTGTGTTTTACTGCGATGCACTGTCTGACACCCTCTCTGCCTTATTTTTCAATATGATGCTTAACAGAATGCATAACATGCTATAAAAAAAGTATATATTTTCACAGTACAAGATTGTGAAGTGAAACTCCTAGTTTTTGCTATAGGGCACATGCATTTGCCTGAGAGAGACAGAGAGAGAGAGAGAGAGACAGAGAGAGCAAAAGTGAGAAATCACCCCATGGGAGGATGACCATGCTGAAACCTTTTTCTTCCATTTTCCTCTTGGGATTTTGGGCATGCATGCCCAGTGTGTTCTTCAAGCTGTCAAGTCCAAGACTCAAACCGTGCAGTCAGCTATGTAGGATCAAGCTACCTTAACCACCATGCTAGTTTCTTAATCATCTAACTTCGCATGCATCTCACAGCCATCTGTACCACTATGTAAATCAAAAGCAGAGTAATGGGTCATTATTGAAAACTTCAGAGCCAGCCCCATGGCCTAGTGGTTAAGAGAGCCAGATCCCATATGCCCAACCATGGTTCAAATCCAGGTCCCAGAAGCTTGAGAAACACAATGGGCCTGTACGTTTGCCCAAATCCCAAAGGGGTAGAAAAATGGAGAAGAAGAGATTGTGGCATGACCATGCTCCAAAGGAAGTTGCTTTCTCCCCATCTTCCTCTCTTTCGGTCAAGTGCACACACCCACTGGCAATTAAAAAAAGAAAAAGAAAAGAATACCTCCAAAGAGAGAAGCCCTCTACCACAGATGTTCAAAGACAGAAGAGCATGGGATCCCTAGAGGTGGCTTCATTCCAGACCCTTGCTACACAAAGCATGGCCCATGGACCAGAGTAGCATCATGGAGGCACTAACAGGAAACACGGAATCTAAAGCCCCACCCACACTTACAGAATGAGCGTCTGCATTCTGCAGGATTCCCAGATGACTCGTTAGCATATGAAAGTCTGAGAACCCCTGGCTAGCTCAGAGGTTTCATCCCCAGTTACACGTTGTAGTCACCATCTGCATTTGTTTTAAGGTTTTTCGCCACAGGTGTGTGTACTCACCAGAGAGACAGACAGAGAAGGAAAGTGAGAAATCCCCCACTCCTGCCAGGAAAGATGGCTGTACTGCAATCCCTTCTCCTTCAGTCTGCTCTCCAGATTTTAGGCACACATGCACAAGTGTTCAGTGTGGGTTTCAAGCTGTCAGGTGGAGGACTTGAACTGCAGTCAGCCTCATGCTAGTCTAGCGCTTTAATCACTACACCACCTGCTTGTGCCACCAGCGGGGTTCTTTAAACTGTCTATACAAGGTGAGAACCAAATCTCTGAGGTGGACCCTGCATGGAGTTTGAATGTGCAGCCTCGTGGTGAGAATCCCTGTAACGATCAAGGTCTTTTTCTGTGCTCTTTCCAATAAGCCTCTATCATAACATTTGCAATAACTATCCCAATTCATGCGTGCTTCCTAGGTCTCAGGCACGATGCTAAGCCCTTCATCCGTATGCTCTCCTTTTGGTCCCCATGACCCTGTAACCTTGCCATCGGCACCCCAATCTCACAGATGAGAAAATGGAATCTTAAAGCTTCAGTAACATTTCCAGCCTCCCACAGCGGGTAAGTGGCAGCGAGCACACTCAGCCTGGGCTGCCTAACTTCTTTGCTCTTCACCCCACCATAACACACAGACGTCCCCCCTTATCCATGAGGCTATGTTCTCAGACTCCCCCCTAGGAGATGCCTGAAACTGTGGATAGTAACAAATTTGATATATATTTTGCTTTTTCCTATACAGACTTACCTATGATTAAGTTTCACTTATCAGCGAGGCACAGCATGCAATGAACAACTAATAATAAATAGAACCCTAACAATATGCTGTAGTAAATGTTATGCGAACGTTGGTTTTCTCTCTAAGCATTTATGTGTACTATATTCACCTATTTCCGATAGCAGCTGACGGCAGGTAACTGAGACTGTGGAAAGCAAAACCACAGGTAAGGGGCACTGCTGTGGTCACGTGTTTACCTGTCTCCCTCAGATGTGATCTTCTGAGGTTAAGAATGATGTTTTCCTTTTTTCTTTCTTTCTGGGATGTTTTTGCGATAGGGCGGTGCACTCGCCAGAAAGACAGAAAGCGAGAAACCACCCCCCACAGGGGGGATGGCCACACCACAATCCCTTCTCCTCCATTCTTCTCTCAGGATCTTGGGCACACACGCACACATGCCCAGCGTGGGTTTAAACCACCGGGTCCAAGACTTGAACCACAGTCAACTACACGTGGGTCCAGTGACATAGCCATTATACCAACTGCTGGTCCCATGTTTTTCTTTTGTTTGTTTCTTTCTTTCTTTTTCTTTTCTTTTTTTTTTTTTTTTTGCTATAGGGCACATGCACTTGCAAGAGATGAGAGAGAAAGTGGAAAATCCTCCTGGGGGGATGGCCATGCCACAATCCCTTCTCCTCTTTGGATTTTGGGCACAGACATACACACACACACACACACACACACACATCCACACAATTTTCAAGTGAAGGGGTCTAGGACTTGAACCACACAGTTGGCCGTGTGAGCCTTAACTTCCATGCCACCTGCTGGTCCTGTCACTCTTTCTTGATCTCGAGTGCCCATTCAAATTAGGGGCAGGGCTAGCAGATGGTGTGGAGGTTAAGGCAGTTGGATCCCACGTGACCGACAGTGTAGTTCAAGTCTCGGACCTGGAAGCTTAAAGAACATGCATGGCATGTGTGCATGTGTGCCCCAAAATCCCAAGAGGACGCTGGAGATAAAGGTATTGCAACATGGCCATTCCACCCGGGGAGGGGGTGGTGATTTCTCACTTTCCCTCACTCTCTCTCTCTCTCTCTCTCTCTCTCTCTCTGTGTGTGTGTGTCTATGGTGAGTGCACGTGCCCTTATAACAAAGTTAAAAAAAAAAAAAAAAGAAAGAAAAATAGGGGCACAATGAGCTAGCCCCATGGTCTTGTGGTTAAGGAAGCCAGATCCCACCCACATGGCTGACCAGGTGGTTCGAATCCTCATCCAAGTGGCTTGAAAAACATGCCGGGTGCATATGTGTGTACCCCAAATCCTGACGGGATGAGGAAATGGAGGAGCAGGGGTGGCAGCATGACCAGACCCCATGGAGGAGTGCTTTCTCCCTTTCCCTGCCTTTCTCTCACAAGTCCACATGTCTTCTGGCAAAATAAAAACAAAACAAGGGCACAGGAAATACAGAAGACTGTCCAGTGCAGCATTAGCTTGATAGATTTCAGATGTGCAATAAAAGGTGAAGGGAAAAAAGTTATACGTGAGACACAGCCCAGAAACCCGGAGGTCGATGGCACGGGTAGCCCTTCTCCTCCCTCAGCATGGTGGCAGGAGTTTAGTTGGTGCCTACTAACATTTTTATCTGAAGGTCATCTATTATTCAGACCTTTCACCTTCTCAGGCTTCAGGGTTAGAGATCCGTGTTGCTCTTGCCAGCATTCCCTGTATATCAGGGCACTTATGACCTGCCTCCATGTTCCCCATGTGGGTCACCAGAGCATGAGAGAGAGCGCTGAGCTAAATGAACATTCAGATTTACAGCCTCCTTTTCAGTTCCAGTTCCTGGCCTCCTCCAAGCAGCAGGTGTTTGCGCAGACATTTGTAGCCTATCCACAAGCCGACAGTAGTCCCTTAGCACCACACTGCAACCCAGATCACCAGGTCGACATGGCTTTTTGTTGGAGAGTTTTTTGCGATAGGCGTGTACACTTGCCAGAAAGACAGAGAGAAACAGAGAGACAGAAAGCGAGAAATCACCCCCCGGGGAGGATGGCCACACCACAATCCCTTCTCCTCCATTCTCCTCTTGGGATATTGGGCATGCACGCACACATGCCCAGCGTGAGTTTAAGCCACCGGGTCCAAGACTCGAACCGCAGTCGACTACATGGGAGTCCAGCGACATAGCCATTACGCTAACTGCTGGTCCCCCCACCATGCTCTTCATCCCACCTTCACATGCACCTTGTACTCACACCCAGGTCCCACAAAAAACCCGAGAGAGAAGAGTGAGTTACTCTGATGTTTATTTTAATGCATCTTAGTCCACACAGTTGGTATAAAATCAGAAGAAGCAAAGCGAAAAGAAAAAAATAGAAAGGTCTGGAGTCTTAGCATCAGAAGGGCACCGTATATACATCTACAGTTGGTGGCCAATACAAGTCATTGCCAGACAGTCCTTGGAAGCACAGGTCCATCTAGACCCAGCCAAGCCCTGGGAACACACAGTCCCATGAGGTCTAGACACTTGTCCTGATGCTCCGACCGTAAGAAAAATGTGGGCATGATGAAGGCTTTATGATTTATTCATTGTCATAAGAACAGCAGCCTAGCTAAGGTACAAACGCAGTTATAAACCATTTACATTACACAGAATTATGCAGGTCTCCATCCTACTTTAGGCTGTAAAAGTGTTAATTGAATTTCCAGTGAGTCGTTTAGATGATTAGTGATAACAAGGAATGGTAAATCCATAGCACCATTTCACAGATTTGCTGTCACCGATTTCTCACTTAGACACGTGACTGAGATACTCCACCAGCCCGGGGGAGTATTCCAAAGCCACACGCCATGTTTTTGCGGAGGGCTCCAGGTTGGGCGTCGTGTCCGTGCCTGTGTAAGGCTTTACATGGTGTTTAGGCAGCAGATGCTTCTGTTGAATGCACTGGGTCACCCACAATAAAAGGGCTTTGGGCCACTCGGGGTTTATACCCACACTGTGGTTTGCTAGACAAGGTGCGGTGGGAGGGAGGTATCTTCTTTCAGGTGAAAGGAAAGGGGTGAGACGGAGTTATTGTACTTCTGGGCAAAACACAGAAATGAAAACCCACACAAGAATACTGAGCTCGATTATACTGTTAGAATGTCAAGTTCTTTAGCTACTTCTTTAAGGCTCAACACGAGGCTGATGGTCAACATAAAAAGCAAACAATACTATGTACATATATGTAAAAAGTGTTATAAATAGGTTTTATAAACCATAGATATTATATACATCTTCAATGAACAGCAACCCCCGCCCCCCCAACTGCATTCTGTTTGATTTGGTTTGAGTTTGGGTTTTTGGCTAGCTCCTTTTGGGTTTTTTTTTTTTTTTTTCCTTCCTCCCTTCCCCATGTACGCTCAGAGCCTCAGACAGACAAGTCTGGGCACTTCATTCGCGTTTCCGCAAGATCACGTAGATGACACCGCTGAGAAGGGCCAAGGGTAAGGCCACCCAAGCCAGGATGTAGGCGAAGCCATAGGAGTACTCGGAGTTGAGATGCCATTCGGTGTGCCTCACCGTGTAGATGGCCGCTGCACTCATCACACACAGACCTGGGGATGGAATGGACAAGCCAGTGAGGAAGAGGTTGCGGCAGGGGGTC